AACGAGACAAAGTCCCTGCCTTCATGAGGCTCATGTTCCGGGGCAAGAAAGAGACAAGACTTGTAGATAGATACATACATACATACATACACAGGTAGATAGATCGATAGACAGATAGATAGATAGATAGTTGATAGATAGTTGATAGCTGATAGATAGATAGATAGGTGGATGGAAGGGAGGAAGGAGGGAAGGAAGATTCAGCTCATGAAAGTACTCAGGAGAAAACAAACCAGCAGAATGGGACAAGGATGGGGTGGGCACTACTTCCTGCAGGTGAGAAACCTGAATGGCGACAGGAAGTCGGCCATGTGAAGATCACGGGGAAGGACATTCCAAGCAGAGACAATGGCAGGTGCCGAGGTCTTAGTGAAAGAACAGACTTGGAATTTCCAAGAGACAGAGTTAAGGAGTTTGTGCTTTACTCAAGTTCAGTGGGAAACCATTGAGGGATCTGGGCGGGAGAGTAACAGGATCTAAGTTTCTCGGGGACCATCCCGACCGCTGAGTGGAGAACGGGTTGCAGGGGTAAGAGCAGCGGGAGGAGGGCAGCTACGAGGCTCCAGCAGTGGACGGGGCGAGAGCTGCTGGGGTTTGCAGTGGTGCAGGGGAAGGAAAGCAGGGAGGACCTCCAGCAGTAGCTGGCCGTGTGAGGGTGACGAGGAGGGAAGGCTCAAGGGTGCTCCGAGCATGACTTCAGGAACCGAGTGGGAGCGACGCCTTCTACGGCTATGGGAAGAACCAGCTGGAATGTGGGAAGAAGCAGGTAACAGACGCTAACTGAAGGCTCACCTGCGCTTGGCACTGAGGGACACGCAGATGTGTGCGGAGAGGCCCAGCCCCGCCCGGCTGCGCACAGTCCACCTGCGGAGACGAGATGCCTGCTCGAGGCGGGGGGAGAGCCATGTGATCCAGCCATCGGGATGGCAGCCTCCTCATGTCTGGTTGGTGCTCCATCACTCACAAGTCTTCACGGATCATCTGTTCAATCCACGTCACAAGTAAGACAGGGAGCACTATCTCCACTTGACAGAGGAGGAAACTGAGGCTTGGAGAGCTTGTACCCAGCCCCAGCTCAGCCAGCCAGGAAGGATGAGAGCCAGAGGAGCCGCCAGGATTTCTGATGTGTCATTTAAAGCCGACATTTCCTTATTATTTTCTGTCTGGATGATCTATCCACTGCTGTAAGTGGGTACTAAAGTCCCCAACAGTTGTATTGCAGTCTCTTTCTCCCTTTAGGTCTGTTAAAACTTGCTTTCTATGTTTAAGTGCCCCTTCAGCATTTCTATGCAGGACTCTGCTCTCCGTTGGGGGGCGCTGGCGGTTGGTCTTGCAGCGTCTCGGTCTATCAGCACACTGGTCTTACTTGGATAGGGTGTGGGGAAGGGTGGCCAGGAGAAGGAGAGGAGAAGCGGATGGGGATTAAAGGGAGGGTAGAGTCCCCCTGAGGTCATTTCTTGGGGATCCACTGAGGCACAGTGAGCTCTGTCTTCAAGCAGGCTCCTTTTCTATCCTGGATGGGAGTGACTCAGAGACAGCAGAGGGTGGTGTGGACTACTGTGACGGGGGTGGAGGGAGGTAAGGCTTGACTCCCATAGCTCTCTGCAAGACGGAGGGGCAGGGAGGGCAGCCCCAGGAGGGAGAGCGTTAGAGAGCAACGGCACACTGGATTGTTGACTAGAACTTGCTGAAGGTGCCAGGGATCTTTCAGCTCCACATGTGGGAAACGAGCACTGGGTGCTGAGACCTGCTTACCTGAGTCAGAAATTCAGGGGTGTTCTGGGCCCGTCCCAGGGGAAGGTTCCTCCCCAGCTTCCAAGGACATGGGCCTGCCTTCAACATCCAGGCAAAGACTTCCTGTTCCTTGATTCCTTGCAATTTAGGTCTGGTTACCAGGTCAGCCTAGGATGTGCCTTACCTAGCCTTAGATGTAATCGTAACATAAGTCCAAGTTGGCAAAACAGGGCACCTCTCTCCTCCCCTGCTAGCATGTCCAGTGCTCTCCCACCAGGGCCCCTTGGCGGAGGCCACCCCAGCCTGCCCTCCTCACCCAGTGGTTCTCAGCTGATGGATGCGGGATCTCATGGTCCTGCTGGTCCCTGCAGGTGTGACGGCAGCTTTCTGCTGGATGACCCAACGGTGAGCATGGGCATGCCTGTCGACCTTCCTCCTTGCTCTCCTCCCTGGCAACACTGTTCGCTCTCAAAGCTCCGCTCAGGCACCCCCTCCGCTGGCCCCCGCCTACTCTGGCTAGGGTCTCGTGTGCTCCTGGACTCCCTGTGCGCCCTCTTGCGACACATTGCTCCTGTAGACGGTGTGAGGGGCCCCATCGTGATTCTTTCCTGTCTGGCAGACAAGGCGTTGACATGTAGGAAACATCCTTTTCCTGCTCCGTTGAAACATTGCTTTTGCTGTACATACGTTTTCCGTACATGCTCAAATCCACCACTGTTTGTTCTCCTGCCACTTCCACGCTGTTTTGATCCCAGTGGATTTATAGTGAGTTTTATATAGTATGTCCCTCATTATAACTATCATTTTTTTTCACTTGAGGATAATTGACGTTTTTTATGCTATTGTTTTCCCATGTAGGAACATGTTCAGGTCTTGTTTATATCCTGTAATAAGTTTCACAGATTTTACTATTAAAGTTATTATTATTAAATTTATGCCTAAGTATTTTAAAGGTTTTGACACTTGTGTGGATCAGACATTTGCCCTATTTCTATTTCTAATTGATTATTGAAAATATAGAGAAGAGCTACTAATTTTTGTATATGTACCTTAAATCCAGCCATCTTACCATACTGTTATTATTTTTAGGAAATAGGGCACATATTTGCATTTCCCTAGGTACTCATCTGAAGACAAGGCCTTGCCCCAGTGGGATGCTCCCCGGGACGCTCAGGGGCCTGTGAGGAGGTGTTGATCACACTACTGAAGGCACAAGAGTCGGAGCCCCCGAGCCTCACCAGATTTTTCCAGAGCAACTTAGAGGAGCTTGTTTCATATATTAGGTTTCCATTTATTTTTACTTGAAGAAATGGTCTGGACAAAAATTAAAAGAAAACAATAGAATAATAAGGAGGAGGAGGAAGAGGAGGAGAAACAGCTGCACTAACTGAGGTAGTCATGCTAGCTGTGGGGCCACTGGACACCCTATACACCCCAAGTGTTTAGGGGCAGGTTCGAGTTTGGAGCAACTCAGAGCCCTGGGCACCACAGTGCAGCATCCTGTTGCTGACGCAAAGCTGAGTGGGAAAGCTACAAGCTGACAAGTCAGTTATATGTGGGGGGGATGTGGGGAGAGGCAGGCAGGCCGCCTCTCCAGAGAAGCTCCCCAGGGCCTTCTCGTCCTCACGCCCCCTCTGCCCTTCCCCACCTGCCCCATTCCAGGACCTGAGGCTCCTGTGCAGATCTCAGGGCACCCTGAACGAGCTCTTTTGCACGATCTCCAAGTGAAGGGGACGCAACCCGCCAAAGCAGAGGCCGTGATGGCTGGAAGGCAAGTGAGGACACAGGGCCTGTCCATCTGGGCCCAGAGGTCAGACCCTCTCAGGGACCTCACGGAGGTTTCCGGAGCCCTTCTCTGACACCCACAGAGACTGGACAGAAGCGTCAGGGCTGGACAGAGCTGGGAATACAGCAGCCAGCGCATAGTGCCTTCACGACAATCCTGAGGATTTCCTTTTACAGATGAAGAAACTGGAGCTCAGAGAAATTAAGGAACTTGCTCGAGGAAACACAGTAAATGGCAGAGCTGGGATGTGGACCTGGACAGCCTGACTTGGAAGCCTGCTGCCATTGGACATTCCCACTCAGGCATCCGGGCCATTCATGTTAAGGCCAAGGAGCAAGGATCGAATCGCCTAGATGCTGCAGAGTTTTGCCCAGGACCCTAGAGCTCATGCATGCACCAGACACTGTCTGTAGACAGAATAAGTAATATGTACTCAGTTAGGTCCTATAGTGGTTTGAATAGTGCCCATCCCCCCCAAAAAAAGCTATCTCCACTCGGAACCTCAAAATGTGACCTTATTTGGAATAAGGGTCTTGCAGATGTAATTAACGTAAGAATCTCAAGACGAGATCATCCTGGATTAGGGTGGGCCCCAAATCCAATGAAAAGCATCTTTATAAGAGGCAGAAAAGGAGAAGACACACAGAGACACAGAGGAGAGGCCAGGTGAAAACGGACACAGAGATGGGAGAGACGTGGCCACAAGCCGAGGACCAGCAGGAGCCACCAGACGCTGAACGAGGCAGGAAGGACTGTCCCCTAGAACCTGCAGAGGAAGCATGGCCTGCCCACGCCTTGATTTCAGACTTCTGGACTCCAGAACCGTGAGAGGATAAGCTTCTGTTGTTTTAAGGCACCCAGTTTGTGATAATTTCTTAGAACAGCCCCAGGAAGCTCACACAGGTCCCTATGAGGCTTGATAGGAAACACAGGCCTGTAAAACCATGACTGAGCTCATGTTGCTGTTGGTCATTATGTGTTTTTCTCAATCAATGGATATAAAAAATATTACTATCCTGTGAATAGGAACAAAAATGTTACCATCATGTGAATAGTAATAAAAATATTACTCTCGAGAAACATCCATATTTGCAGCCCCTTCATCTTCCAGAGGGGGCAGCTGAGCCTCAGAGGGGGCTGTGGAGAAGCCAGCAAGCTGGTCTGGTGAGTCATTTCTCCTCCTCCAAGGTCCATTAAGTTTTCGGGCACTCGTGGTCCTCACAAACCCACACAAAGAGGTCAGGATCATGCCTGTCAGCAGAAGGTTTAGAAACACTGCCCACCTCCCTCTCTCTGCCTCCCAGTTTGGCAAGGCTGAGAGCAAGTTCACATCCTGTGATTGTTCCAGAAAACCAAGAATTGCTAAAGGCCATTGTGTCAGCTTTGCCCAACCCATGCCACTTGACACCCTAGCACTCCACATCATGGCCCAGCCCCTGTCTCCTCCCTCTCCCTGCCTGATTTCAGCACAGCAGACTGCAGTGGGACAGGGCCGCTGATAAAAGGAGGGTAGAACCCAGAGAGCTGGTTGCCTGGGCTGGAGTGTCACCAGGCCAGCACCATGGCGAGGTCCGCGGCCTGGGCAGGTGAGTGGGCATCATCTGGGAGGGAGGGCTTGGGGCTGAAGCTGCGGGGAAGTGGGGTGTGCACAGTAAATGGCTCCTCGGTGCTTTCTGCAAGGAAGCAGGGCATACAGGAGAACTTGGGACCGTCAGCCCCGCCCTCCCTCTGCCACTTGGCTGGCAGTCCCTCAATTCCCATTCCTGTGGGGTCCCCTTGGGGCTTTGTGTTGCAAGGAAAGGCTTTTCTCAAAAGGCTGAAAATGGCTTTTCCTCCTTCTGTCCTGGAAGCCCAGCGTCAGTGAGCCCCTGCACTGGGGAGTCGTCTTTCCTGTGCTCTGAGGCCCCGACTTTTGGCTTTACCCAAGAGGTGCCCACTGCCAACCCCATGCTGGTTGTCCTGCAAGAGGGCAACCTGGGGGCCACGATCCTGGGTGTCCTTGCAAATTTTCATGCCAGTTTTATTAGGTTGATGGGAAAATCCAAGGTCACCAGAAAAGTGAGATCAATTCTTTTTAAGGAGCCCTGCCAAATCCTGGTTCTCCAAGGATGTTGGCAACTCAGCCAGTGCCTTTGAGGTGTGGTGGGAAAGTAGCAGGATGCACAGAAGCCTTGCGGGGAGATGGATCTCCTGGCCAAGCCCTTCCAAAGGGGCTCTTTCCAGCCCCAGAACAGATTTTTTCTTTTTTTTTTTTAAGATTGGCACCTGAGCTAACAAAGTTGCCAATCTTTTTTCTTTTTTTTTTCTGCTTTTTCTCCCCAAATTCCCCCAGTATATAGTTGTATATTTTATTTAGTTGTGAGTCCTTCTAGTTGTGGCATGTGGGATGCCGCCTCAACATGGCCTGACGAGCAGTGCCATGTCTGCGCCCAGGATCCAAACTGGTGAAACCCTGGGCCGCCAAAGCAGAGCACACAAACTTAATCACTTGGCCACGGGGCCGGCCCTCCTAGAACAGATTTTCTTCTCCTTTCCAAAGAGAAACTTTCTCTGTGAATCCCTCACAAGTCAGTGGTTTTCCTAGAATCTTCCTAGATCCACATGGCCCTCCACTGATGCTCTAGAGGTAGCAGCCTCAGCTCATGAATACCTCCATCAGCCCAGGCCAGGGAGGGGCCCCTGCCATGCGGCCTGGGTGAAGAGATGGACACAGTGCCCTCCTGGGTCCCTTCTGGGTAGAGGAAGCTTGGTTTTCAGGAAAACATCCAGAGCCCCCCCCACCACCACCTCCACCTCCTGTGCTTCCACGGCCGACAGGGCCTGGGAAGGGGAGGGTGACTCATGACCTCTGCCTTCTCTCCCTGCTTCAGGTTTGATGGTCCTGCTGGTGATCCAATGGGGTAAGTGGCACCTTCCTTGAGGCTGGCCATCGACTCCGTCAGCCCCTTCCCTGCTCTCTCTCTCCCCAACTTACTCACCCCACCCCGCCCCAGGAGCTCTTGCCAGTTTCAGTGGGGACTCTCCTCCAAAGCACAGCCCCCCACTAGTGTCCTTGTCCCCATGATGGCCCTGCTGTCCCTTCTTCCAGTAAGGTTCTTGTGCCCTCACCCACTAGCTGAGCTCCCGCATGTCCATGGGGCCAGCTTAAACGTCAGCCTCTCTCAGGACTTTCCTGGGGTCACTTACTCCAAGCTCAACGCCTGAACACAGTTGACAGTATGCATCAGTGTTTCTAACAACGGGCTTGAGGGTCTTCCCCCAACAGACCCCGAGCTCCTGGAGGTATGGTAGCCTCGGTCTTAGCCAGCTCCATACCCTAGCCTCTTAGCTCAGCCAGGACAGCATGTGCACTCCCGTGTCCACTGAACTGATGGCATGTAGGGCTCGGGAAGCCAGGAGGCTCCTTGTGTTGGACAAAAGAGAGCTCTCCAGGGATCTGCAAGTAGCCTGGGTGTCCGGGTTCCCTCCTACCCGACTCCAGTCCCTGTGCATCAAGGCCCCAGGAGGCCCGGCCCTCGGACCTGTCGTGAGGCTGAGCTGTGGCACTGAACACACATTCCCCCTCTTGGTCTCACCAGAGCGACAGCCAGAGGCCACAGAAATAACAAATATGGGGAAGATACATGTTGAAGATTTCCCACAAAGTTTTAGTCCAAGCTGTTTCTGGGCACACACCATATACCATATGGTCTATAGTATGATATAGAGAGAGAGATCTATAGTAGAGCTCTGTGTGGACGAAGGGGTAATATATGCAAAGTGCTTAGAGCAGAGCTGACTCTCTGTCAGCACTGTTCTGAGTGTTTTGCATAGATCAACTCTTTGTCCACACAATGGTCCTGTAAGGGAGGAACAATGATTGTCCCCATTCACAGAGGAGGAAGCTGAGTGACCAGGCTGGTAAGTTGCAGAGTTGGGATTTCAGCTCAGGCATTGAAATTCCAGAGTGCCTGCTCTTCACCACCACACTTCATTGCCTCTACAGTAGGAAAATCCGTGCGTGATCTTTGATCGCGTACGACAGGATATGGTGTGAGAAGAGCCTCCTGGCTCCTCCTAGACGGTCCCAGAGATGTGTTCTCAGGGTTAATCCCCTCCTTCCTTCTTCTGGTTTGGGGAGTCCACCAATCCTCCTCCTATATCACAGCAGGCTATACCCTCAGCTCCTAACGGCCAGCTCTTCTACTGAGTGACCTCTGGTTAGGGCCAGTGACCACCCCAGAGCTCCATCTGGGTGCCCAGGGGAGTCTCAGCCAGCCCCTCGTGCTCTGGGTCCCCACAGACCCTCCTGTAGCCACTCTGCACCCCTCCCCCACCCGGCCCTCTCACTGGCCAGAGGGATGCTGGAGGGGAGCACAGAGAGACCCTCCCCCCACCAGGGGCAAGGGCAAGTCCCAGGGTCCAGACACCAGCCACAGATGGGATCCAGTCCAAACTCACCATTCAGCCAAGTTTCTGGCATAAAATGTCGGCCCACACAAACCACACCATGGAAGAATGCGAGGCTGGAAGAGACCCAGAGTCATCTTCAGATGGGGACCCCTGGGCAGAGGCTGAAGGGGATGGGCCCCAAGTGCCTTCCTGGCAGATGTGGGAATGAAGACTAGTGTGCTTGCTTCCTGGTGTTCCGGTCACCCTAGCATAGCACTGACCATGGTGGGGGCCATCACTGCAAGACCACCCCGTCTGGGAACAGAGGCCCTCCCCAGAGAGTCTTCCTAGTCTGTAGGGGATGCCAGAAACAAGCTACTTTTTCCTGGATGAAATAAGGCCTTTATTAGCATTTTATCAGTGATGTCCATCAACACAAATTCTCTACAAGAGATGACAAGTCAACGCAAACCTCTAAATCAAGAGAAAAACAAAACCCAAACACTGAGCTGGGGCCTCCTCTCTGCCACTTCATGTATTTGCATTTTAATTAACATTCCGAAGTATGCCAAGCCATGCTTTGCAATTTCAGCCTCCTGCCTGCAGCAGATGAAGGGCCGTGTTTAAGTGTTTAACGCCCTGTGGCACAAGGAGTTTCTGTCCCCAGGCAGAGGGCGCCAGTCCCAGCTGGTCCTTCTGACCGCCATTTCTTTTCTTTTCCCCAACGGGCCAGGCTCTGCTGCGAAGCTGGTCTGCTACTTCACCAACTGGGCCCAGTACAGACAGGGGCCCGCTCGCTTCCTGCCCAAGGACGTGAATCGCAGTCTGTGCACCCACCTCATCTACGCCTTTGCCGGCATGAACAATCACCAGCTCAGCTCCATCGAGTGGAATGACAAGACGCTCTACCAGGAGTTCAATGGCCTGAGGAAGATGTGAGCTGCGGTGGGGGATGGGGGAGGGGGAACTGGAGAAGGCAGAGCCAGAAATCTTCCCCCCCGCCCCGCACCCCGCTCCCAACTGCAATCCAGCCACACAGACCTGCTGTGTCGCTTAGGGCAAGTCGCAGCCACTCTCTGGGCTTTCCTGTGCATAGATGGAAGAGGTGGGGGTAGACAGGACTCCTTAAGGGCCCTTCCAGGTTAGATCCAAGTGGGCTCTGGACTGTGAAACGGTTTCCCTATGCCGGGAACCAGTGCCCTTCTCCCTCCTAAAATCTATCCATTCTCCAGCTCAAGTGTTTTCACCACTTGACGAAGCCTCTCTGAGGACCTGCCCTGACCCCTCACTTCCTGAACTCCTTGTGTGTGCGTCTCCCCAGCCAGACGGCAGGTCCTGGAAGGCAGGAACATGTCTCTCCCTTCCCAGTCTAGAGCTTCCCCGGTGCAGCTCTGCACACGGAGAATCACGCCTCCCTGACGCCTACCCCATCAGCCCCACCAGGGCGCCACCAGCTCCTTGCGGTCAGGGAGGTGAGCCCTGGGAGCTGGCGGGGTGAATTCGGGCACTTCTCTTGCATTTCCCAGGAATCCGCAGCTGAAGACTCTGCTGGCCATCGGGGGCTGGAACTTCGGCACTCAGAAGTGAGTTGACTGTGTGGCAGAGCCACTGGGTACAAACCAGCTCACTGGCCAGAGAGAGCCCTGGTCAGGGACTCAGGCCAGGCCAAGGTGTGGCCATGGTGAGGGGTATGGGAGGGGATCTGGATGCTGAGAGCTGACTTTCCTTCCCAGTTCTCAATGCCTCACGGGGAGGGCAGAGGAGGGGGCTGAGCTCCGAGCCACTATCCATCCAGTCTTGCCAGGAGTGCAGGATCCGAATGCAGCACGGAGATTCTGACCTCTTTCCAGGCCTCAGTCTCTTCCTCCACGAAATGGGTAGAAGGAGGGTCCCAGCTAATCCCAGACGACACACAGTGTCTATGTTTCCCGAGCTCTGAAACAGGATACTTTGTCCCAGAATTCTTCTAGGCGTCAAAGGCAGTCTGTGAAGTTGAGCTTGGATGCCAAAATATTGGCATTTCTAAGACATTTTTGATGATTTATGGAGGCAATGGAATGGTATTTTGGGGACTAGACTTTTCCTAGAAAGTCCAGGAAATATGGTTCCCAAAGTTCTAAACCTCTTTCCAAGACATTTTTGGATCATGAGACCTTTTAAGAACCTGACGAAATTTATGAGCCACCTTCCCAAAATACTGCTCACGCACTGATTTTTCATTGATATGCTGGGGTTCCTAGGCAGACACCCCACTTAAGAACTGCTGCTGTTAATTAAATTAATAAATTAATAAAAAATAAAATAGGATCAGTCTATAAAAATCTCAAGGCCCCCCCCAAAGTCCAGGGACTTCTCCTGGGGATGCTGAGGAAGGAGAACGTGGGGAGGTGGCTCCTGGGGCAAGAGCCCTGAACTAGTAACAGTCAGAGCGCACAGCATCCTACAACCGCGAGCTAGAAGGAGGGTGACCAGGTTAAAACACAGGGAGCAAGAGCAGCAGCCCCCGAACTGCCCGACCCTCGCCTCTTCCCTCTTCATCTGAGAAACGGATTCTTCTTCCTCCTAGAGGGTGACAGCTAGCTCTGGCTCAGGGCTCCTGGCGAGTCAGTGTGCCCCCAGTGATGCCGTCTGGGGGCAGGACACACCTCTAGGTGGTCCCTTCTCCCTGGCCAGGCTCATGACTCACCAGCACGTGAGCAGCCCTGCCAGCGCCCTCCTGGCCTGACAGCCAAGCCCCAATATTCCAAGCAGCTTCTCACTTTCTCTGAGGAGAGAGGGGCCCGCTGCCCTGTGCAAGGCAGTCCCACACTGCCTTTCGTCACCCACAGGTTCACAGATATGGTGGCCACAGCCGAAAACCGTCAGACCTTCATCAACTCGGCCATCAAGTTTCTGCGCAAGTATGACTTTGACGGCCTTGACCTGGACTGGGAGTACCCGGGGAGCCGGGGCAGCCCCCCTTCGGACAAGCAGCGCTTCACAGCCCTGGTGCAGGTGTGGCTGGGTGGGGTAGGGGTCACCCAGTCGGCCAGGGGTCCAGAGCCGTGGCCCCCCATGACGCATATTTCATAGGTTTACATGGCACAGACCAGCCCTGCTGTCGGTTCTCAGGCTCCCGAGAGCAATCATCCATGGGGGCTCGCAGGGGCCGGCATGGTGCCTCCACTGTGCTCACTCTGAGCTGTCCCACAGGAGCTGACCAACGCCTTCCAGCAGGAAGCCCAGGCCTCGGGGAAGGAGCGCCTCCTTCTGAGCGCGGCCGTCCCGGCGGGGCGGGCCTACGTGGATGCCGGCTACGAGGTGGACAGAATTGCCCAGTGAGTCTCAGACAAGCGAGGACCACAGGCGTGGACCCCCTGTTCTCTGGGATGGGAGGGGCCCGGGCCAGCTGAGCTTCCAGGAGCAGAGCAGGGGTTCAACTGCGAGGTGTCACCTGGGGAAAGCCCCTCCCCTCCACCGGCAAACCCAGGAAGGATTTGCTCAGTGTGTCTGCTGCTCCACACTCCAGATTCCCTCCGCTTTGGCCCTTGTCCTTGTCCTTGGGAACTCAGGATTAAAGGGGGGTGCGGGGGAGGGGGATGAGGAGTGAACTGAAGCCCCAGCATCTCCCAGAGGATGAGTGTGGACCTGGGCGCCTGTTAGAAATGAGGGCCCCCAGGCCCCCTGACTCGGAACCAGCCCCACAGGGAGAGTCCCAGGTGACTGATTGATGTGCGCACTGAAGTCCGGAGACACTGAGCTGGATTTCCCTCCAAAGTGGCAAAATAGCTGGAGGTGTCCTGGGTGGAATTGATCCTGAGGGTGCTGAGGGGACAGCTGGGGGCAGATGCTAAAGACTGTTGCGCCAACCTCACCGTCTAAGCAAGAACAGCCTCACAAATGGGGGGCTGACTGGGAGTGCTGCCTGTGTCACAGAGCCAGAGGAGCCTGCAGCCCCCTCTCTTCCCATCAGGTCCCTCCCAGGCCACACGCTGGGGCCAAAGGAGCGGGGAGGGGGAGGGCTCTGCCTGCTCACTAGCCCCTCACCCCTTTTTCCGTGCCTCCCGAAGGAACCTGGATTTCATCAGCCTTATGGCCTACGACTTCCATGGCTCCTGGGAGAGGACCACAGGACACAACAGCCCCCTCTACAGGAGGCAGGGAGAGAGCGGGGCAGCGGCTGAGCTCAACGTGGTGAGTGGCCGGGGGGATGAAGTGGCCGGGGGATGAGGGGACTCCCATTCCGCAGGCCCTGCCAAGTGGCCTCTTTTGAGTCTCAAGGAACGTGGTGGAAAAAAAAGCAGGAAGCCCAGCCCGGCCCCAAGAAGCCAGAGTGTCTGTTTCTTCAGTGCTGGTTGTTTTCTTTTCCTGTTCCGTGCTGCTGCTGAGTGGCGCTCCGGCTGGTATTGGACACAGCCAGCCAGTGACTCTTTCTGAGTTCCCAGTCACAACGGCTCCTGCTATGTCACACACACTCATCCCATTTCCTTCAAGACAGTGGGTGACCTTTTGCTCCCAGTCACTGAGTGGACCTTCCGGAAGGTGCTTTCTGAGATGGGAGCTTTCCCTAGTTGAGAACGTCTCAGTGGGTGTCACTCAGGGCAGAACCGCCCTGCCCTGACCCCAGCCTCTGGAAAGGGCAGGGCTGGTTTAGACTGGGGCGGGCTGGGGCCTCCTGCACAACTCTCCCTCACTGAGTAGGCTGGACGCTTCTTATGAGCCCCAATGATATCTTAAAAGTAAAGAAGAACAAAAAGGCCTGAATTGAACTGCTTTACAGTCTTGAGGAGCCCCCTCTCTGTGCATCAGCTGGGTGGAACACCCCTCTCTGTGCATCAGCTGGGTGGAGCCCCCCTCTCTGTGCATCAGCTGGGTAGAGCCCCCCTCTCTGTGCATCAGCTGGGTGGAGCCCCCCTCTCTGTGCATCAGCTGGGTAGAGCCCCCCTCTCTGTGCATCAGCTGGGTGGAACACCCCTCTCTGTGCATCAGCTGGGTGGAACACCCCTCTCTGTGCATCAGCTGGGTGGAACACCCCTCTCTGTGCATCAGCTGGGTGGAACACCCCTCTCTGTGCATCAGCTGGGTGGAACACCTCTCTCTGTGCATCAGCTGGGTGGAACACCCCTCTCTGTGCATCAGCTGGGTGGAGCCCCCCTCTCTGTGCATCAGCTGGTGGAACACCCCTCTCTGTGCATCAGCTGGTGGAGCCCCCCTCTCTGTGCATCAGCTGGGTGGAGCCCCCCTCTCTGTGCATCAGCTGGGTGGAGCCCCCCTCTCTGTGCATCAGCTGGTGGAGCCCCCCTCTCTGTGCATCAGCTGGGTGGAGCCCCCCTCTCTGTGCATCAGCTGGTGGAACACCCCTCTCTGTGCATCAGCTGGGTGGAACACCCCTCTCTGTGCATCAGCTGGTGGAACACCCCGGACTTCGGCGGCTCCTCCAGGAATACAGTCACCTCTTCGGGAGCTTGAGTGAGGCACCCCTCTTTCACATGAGCCCCGCCCCTCCACCCCCACTCCGAAACTGTGTGGGTCCCCAGGGGGCGGCCAGCCCAGCCTGGTGGGACACACACGACATTCAGCTGAGCAGCTAGGGCTGAAGTCCCCCCCGGCACCGTGCCCTCCATTCCTACAAAGAGGCCTCAGCTCTCCCTACCGTGCTGCTGGGGATGCTTCTGGCCGGAGAGGTGACTTCCCAACTCGCACACAGGAGCCACAGCGCATAGCAGGGGCCCTGCCCTCTGCCCTCAGAAAGCTCCAGTCTGAGCCAAGATAAATCAGGCAGACCAGCAAAACAAAACAAAAACAAATGAATACAGTGAAAGCTGTTCTTCACCACAGTGCTGAGAGAGGACCAAGACTCAGACGGGGTACTTCTTGGGGGAAGCGAGCCCGTCATCCTGAGGAGGAATCTCCATCGTCCCTTTATGCCACACGCCCACGCTGGGCGCCTCCTCACGTCACAGGCCCGGGGGCATCATGTCGAGAATTCTGACGGGGAAGGAAGGCATGGAGCAGAGGCGGATGAGGGAGCCCACTTGCTCTTTCCATTTGAGCGCGGAAACGTCAAGCAGTGTTCTAGGCATTGGGGAAAAGAGAGAAAACAGACCCAATTCCCTAGCCTTGTGCTCAGGGAAAAACAACCTGAGTCTCTATGATTAGCTGCCCTTTATTGCACTGTGCTGGCCCTTCCTCACGCACCACACCCTGCACTCCTGTAACGCCCTTAGACAGATATTTCTATTGTTCCCACTTTACAGACAGGAAGCCTGAGGCTCAGCAAGATCAGATGAGTTGCTGAGTAAGGAGGGATCTGGCTGCTGTGTTCACCCAGGTACTCCAGCATCTAGGACAGGCCTGGGCCACTGGGGGCCGTCAGTAAATATCTGCTCGGGGGAGTAGCTGGCTGATTCCAAAGCCCACGGTCTTGGCTACTGTGCCATGAGCTTCTCTCACTGGAGTTGAGGGTTAAGACAGGATCTAGGGAAGACGGGGCAGAATTGAATCCTAAATAAAGGGTCCATGAAGCTCCTCGGGAGCCCCCAGCCTTGGACGGCCACAACCAGGGTGAAGGCAAAGAAAACTAACCCTGCCCCCCTTCTCTACCACCAGGACTTTGCAGTGCAGCACTGGCTGCAGAAGGGGACCCCCGCCAACAAACTGATCCTGGGCATGCCCACCTACGGGCGCTCCTTCAGCCTGGCCTCCTCATCAGACACTGGCGTGGGGGCCCCAGTCACGGGGCCTGGAACCCCTGGCCCCTTCACCAGGGAGGGCGGGCTGCTGGCTTACTATGAGGTAGGAAAGCCCATGTCCACCCCAAGTACCGTAGGGGGCAGGGGCTACTTCTCCCACAGCATCTGAGTGAGGGTGCCAGGCACAGCAAACTCTGGCCAGGTGAGTTCCATCCCACGCCTGTCACTTTTGATTTATCCTTAAGCCCAGCTGCCTCACTGAATCCAGGGTTCTAGGTCACACAATCTAGAACCCCATAGATGCTCCAGGCTTCCTCAGAAAGGAACTTTCTGATCTGCAGTCTGCCCTTGGAGGGAGGCACAGAAGCCTGCAGTGCCTCCCACCTCCTCCCCAGCTGTGTCCCCTGTCCCTACAGGTCTGCTCCTGGAAGGGGGCCACTGAGCACAGAATCGAGGACCAGAAGGTGCCCTACGCTGTCCAGGGTGACCACTGGGTGGGTTTTGATGACGTGGAGAGCTTCAAAACCAAGGTGAGGCCCAACCCCACTGGGAGGGAGTGGTTCTGGGTGGGTCCGAGGCCCGTCAGTAACATCGAATGACAGCATTCAGGGCACCCTCAACAAGTCTCTAAACATCCCAGCATTTCACAGATCTCCATGTGACAGCATTTGCGCCTTCACCACCTATTGACTAAGAAAAGACACGATGACAAAAAATTGCTCTACACCGAGTAGCACTCTTGAAAGAATTGGTATTTTATTAAATACAAACTCTACAGACATTTGAGGAGGAGAAATAAACCCAGCGAGCATATCATCTGGTTCAGTCCATGGCAATATTTGGTGCATGTTCATATCATAGACCTTGTGATTTACTTATATGACCCCCACTCCTGCCCAATGTCGACGGCTGAAAACTTAGTGCGTTTATTTGCTTCCATGCCTCTGTCCCCACAAGGTCTGGAGCTCCCGCACCTGTCATCTATGTATCTCCCATCGGGGTCACGCAGGCAGTGGCAGGTTCTAGAGTGTGGACAAAGCGCTCCAGGAGAATGGAGGAAGGAGCACAATCTCGCTGGAGGACATGGGGAAGGGATCAAGGTGGCAAGGTCTTTGAGAAAGTCCTAAAGCAGAGAAGGGCACATTCTGGGGAGGAAACGGCAGGAGCAAAGACATGGTGAAGAGGAAAACGGAGGATGGACTAAGAGAACAAGTCATAGGCTCGCACGGCTGGAAGCCCGAGGGGGCACGGTGTGGGAAGGGAGGTGGCTGGAGAGGGAGATTGGGGCCAGCAAGGGTTCCAGACCAGCCCCACCCTCCAACCCCCAGCCTCGCTCCAGGGTGAGTCAGGGCCCCCTGGCAGGGTTAGGGGACAGGGAAGCCCACCTGAGGGAACACACAGCTAACCCTGAGGAAGCCTCTGGGATCCGGTGGAGGGTGAGTAGGCCCTCGGAGAGGACGAAGACGTGAAGATAGGGAACTGATTCAGATCTGTGAGGAAGCTTTGTGGCTGTCTGTGGTGATGGGACTCAGGACGACAAGCAGACAGTGCCCTCAACCACAGAAGCCCAGCCCAGAAAAGGCCAAGTTAAGGCTGCCAACCCAGGGATGCCCACACACCCATCCACTCCTCATACCTCCACCCTCACCCTCACCGCAGGCCAGGCTACGTCAGGACAGGGGGATTCCAGAAGACTCATGCCCTGCCCAGCCCAGGGCTGTGCCGGAAGGCTGGACCACTCGTGGGCCTGGTGTGCTGGGAAAAAAAGGCCCCATCTAGATGAGGAAGCCAGGCTCTGGGCTGACCTGGCCAGGCGTCCCTGGGCTCCTCCACCCGCATCTCGCTCCTCACATAGGTCAGCTACCTGAAGCAGAAGGGACTGGGCGGGGCCATGGTCTGGGCGCTGGACATGGACGACTTCTCTGGCTCCTTCTGTAACCAGGGCCAATACCCACTCATCAAGACCCTGCAGCTGGAGCTGAGTGAGTATGGGGCCAGGGACCAGAGGCAGAATTCGGGGGTAGGGTATGAACCCCCATCCCTGAACTGCAGGTCCTGGCTCCTTCAGAGGAAATGACTTGGCCCCAGTGCTATGATGTCGCAAATTTCATGCACCCCCAGGAGCTGAGGAAACTGTTGAGCTGATTCTCTTTCCACGCTCCTCCTCCTCTTTCTGGTTGTAGCAATGCCCACCTGAGGCATTGGTACCCAGGGCTTCCCTCCGGGGACAGCCTGCTCCTCTCTTCTCAAGGAGAAAGTCTGCCCTCGGCGTGAGGGGTGAGACCCCCTGGCCTCACCAGCACAGGGCTGGGCTTTACAGGCAGCCATCGCCTGCCCGTGACACCTGCAGCCCCGGTGTTTTCTGCTGAGCTGTGTGTGCTGTGGCTGAAGGCATGGCTGCCACCCGGCTGCACCCCACCTAGAGGGTGTGAGCTGCTGCCTGCAAGCAGTTGCCGCCTGTATTCGGAGCCCATGGGTTTGGGATTTCTTGGGGGAGTCTTGGCTGAATCTCCCTGTTTGCCCAGGTCTTCCACATAGACCGCTGGGCCCTCCAGAGCATGAAGTGCCTGCGCCGGGCCAGCCCTCTGAACCCAAGGGTGGCCCCAGCCTTGGACAAGACACCTTCTGCCAGGGCAGAGCTGATGGGCTCTACCCCAACCCTCGGGACGGCTCCAGCTACTACAACTGTGCAGGGGGGAGGCTGTTCCAGCAAAGCTGCCCCAGGGGCCTGGTGTTCAGCTCTTCCTGCAAATGCTGCAGCTGGAGTTGAGCCCCCAGGGCCCCCGCAGCCTGAGGTCTCGCCACAACCTGCCTCCCCAGCTCTCCCCGGGGGTCCTGCAGGCCTCTCTCTGGTCCCTCCACTTCGGAGCTTTCTGCTCTCAGCCTTGGATGCCTTTTGTTCTGGTCCTCTTGGGCTGCCTCTTTTATCTGCAAAATAAATCTCTGGCTCGCATCCCACTGTCCCCAGATGTGGTGACCTACAGAGGCTCTCGGAGCACACTGTAAGCTCAAGCACTGCCCTGGGGCAGGTAGGGAGCCAAGAGGGGAAGTGGCATGGGCACGCATAGGTCGTGTGCCAGGGCTTGTCTCGCAGACCCCAGTGGGCAGCTTACAGGGCGCAGACAACCGCGTCTGGGGAACGGCCCCAGGGGAGCAAGGTGGAGTGACACATTCTTCACGGCTCAGAAGCCGTTGGGGACAGAAGAGCTCTTCCCGGCGACCTCCACTCAGGTGTTATTCCCACGATGGACACCAGGTGGCAGCAGAGAAGAGCGCTTCCCCGCCTTGGGCTCTGCGCGGCCGTAATGTGAGGATGCGGACCCCGCACTGACCCCGCCCTCTGAGTCCAGCCCTTCCAGGCCCTCCACACGCTTTGTCTCATCCCCTGCTCCCATTTGCCAGATGAGGCAGGGACAATCGTCATCCTCGTTTTGCAGGTGTTTAAACCGAAAACTGATTCTAACCCAGTTCTGAGTCCAGAACCGAGGCGTGAATGGGCGGAGATGCGCCGGACAGCATGCGCGCACGGTCCCCTGGACAGACGGAGTGGTCCAAGCTGTCCTCGCGGCCGTCCGTCGAGTCCAGGTCGTTCCATTTGAAGAAAGTCTGCACATAAGCTAACGGACCAGCGCGCCGCACCCTCGCCAAACCAAACAGGCTGGTTTGGGTTTGTGGTGGGACTTGGGCAGGCCCTGGGGATGGGGACAGCTGGGGCCGGAGGAGTGATCTGGCCCTTCGCATCAGTGCAGCCAGCACCAGATCCCCATAACAAAGACTTCCACCCTCCCACACCCTGCCCATCTTCAGGGTTTTTAAATCTGCTCTTCTTCTATCCAGAGCACAGGTCTGTCTGCCCATGTCCCTTCCTCCGAGGTCACCACCAACAAGGCTCCCCAACTGCTCCAGGTGGAGTCTGGGGGGTGTTTCCTTGCAGGGGCGCCTGAGCCCCCCAATGGCACAGAGCTGACTTCTGGTCCCACCACCTACTGGGCGTGTGACACCTGGTCTCCTCCTCTGTCAGATGGCGTCACCCTCCCCGGGGTTGACCGTGAGCAGTGCAGGAAGTGGGGCGTGTTAGCTGTGCCCACCCTAGGGCAGCACTGGCTCCCCCTCCCTCTTCTCTTCTCAGTCCTTTCTGTGCTTCTGTAGGCCGGATAAATCAAGAATTGAGCAAACAGTCTGCTTGTAGCCAAATGAGCTCTCCTGTTGGTGTCCACACAGCCAGTCCCCCTAAGGACTAACTCTGGCATCTGGGCCAGCTTTATCCACAGCTTCATGCTCCTGCTTCCCTCCCATCACGTGGTCCCCAACTCAGCTCAGGCCAACAGCACTCTCAGCAGTCTCCTCTCTGGTCCCTCGGCCTCCTACCCCTCTCTCGTCCAGTCCAACCCCCACACTGGACCAGCTTGGTCTTTCTAAATTAGGGATCTAATCCTGTCACTTCCCGTGCATAAGGACTGCCAACAGCTTCCCGAGCCCAGAGAACAAAGCCTATTGTCAGCACAGCATCGAGACCGATTATTAGGGCCCAGTCTCTTCTCCTGGTCTCATTCCCTATCATCCCACCCCCATCTGGTGACAGGGTACCCCAGCTGTCAGCATTAACCTCAGCCACACCAGCTTCTCACATGGGACCCCCAGACGTCCACCATCACTCCTCTGAGGTTTGAGCCCCAGCCCCAAAGCAACTACTGCTTTTTAAACAGACTTTCTCCCTTTACCCACTGGACTGCCCCACCACCCCCAGGCACTTTATTTACAAACAAGGTGGTGTACCCGCCTGTGGAGCCAGCCTTTGAGGCAGGTGCAGACGCTGCTTGAATTGTTAGGTTTTGCTTAGCTTTGGGCAACACAGTTTGAAAGGACCTTTGGCTCATTTGTGCTGTGATGGCGAAACCCATGAATGTCTGGCCACTGTCCCCAACAGCGGTGGCCGCTCTCAACCCCATAAAGGAAAGTCTCCTCTGGCCCTCTCTCTGAGCATGCTCAGACCATTCAGCACCGTGTCTAATACACCTGCTGGAACCCCGGGCAAATCCCCCCCCAGCTGGGACCCAGCTCTCCTGGTGGGCTCACAGGCCCCTTCCCCCACATCACCTGCTTTCATCTGTGCCACACCCTACCCTGAAACTCTACTGTTTTTATTTTGTTTCAACTATGAAATATACCACATAGGCAAAAGAGTGTTTGGAGTATGTATGTTTGGTATCTCCTATGAATCCATCATCCAGGTCAGGAAACAGAGCATGACCAGCAGCTTAGAAACTATTCATGTGGCCCTCCCCAATGCCACTCTTCTCTGGCTAGATTTTGGTTATTTATTCCATCGTTTTTCTTACAGTTTTACCAACCATGACATTCCCAAACAAGATATTGTTTGGTCTAGCCTGTTTTTGAACCTTATATAAATTGAGACATACTGTGTGGTATCTTCTGTGGCTGACTTCTGATGTGTCACATAGCTGTAACTCGCTCATTTTCACTGCTGTATAGTATTCCATCATATGACTGTACCACAGTTTATACCTTCTGTTATCAGTATGCATTTGAGTTGTTTCCAGTTTTTGCCTAATGTAACGATATTGCTGTGAACCCTCTGACATGACTGTTGGTACGTGTGTGTTCATCCAGGAGTGGAATTGGTGGGATGTGGGGCGTGTGTGAGTTCAGTTTTACTAAATGCAGACGAATACTTTGCGAAAGTGGTTGTACAAGTTTCCATCCCACTGCGGAGCTCCCCGTGCCCCCACCCTCACCATCGCCACAGCACACTTTGTACCAACTGCAAAGGTGTAAAATGGTCTCTCATTATGGTTTAAACTTGCATTGCCTCACTTGCTCATTATTTAGGCAAATTTTCCTATGTCATAAGCTATTTGTGTTTGTTTTTTTGTGAGAAGTATGTTGTCTCTCTTGCTTTTTCTATTCTGTTGTTTGTCTTTTCTTATTGAAATGTAGAAGTTCTTTACACATTCGGAACACGAGTCCTTTGGTAATTACAGGTTTGGCTGTATCTTCTCCCAGTTCGAGGCTTGGCTTTTCATTCTCTTTAGGTGTTGTTTTTTAAATGTAGTCAGATTTACTGATTTTATCCTTTATGATTTGTGTTTCTTGCATCCTGTTGAAGAAATCTTTCTCCAGTCTGAGATCAAAAAATTCTTTTCTGGGGCCAGCTCAGTGACGCAGTGGTTAAGTTCACATGCTCGGCTTCAGCCACCTGGGGTTCACAGGTTCAGGCCCTGGGTGTGGACTTAGCACCACTCGTCAGGCCACATTGTGTCTGTGTCCCACATAAAGCAGAGGAAGATTGGCAATAGGTGTTAGCTCAGGGACAATCTTCCTCACACACACACAAAACTTATTTTCCTATATTGTCATCTAAAAGTGTATACTTCTTTTTCTTTAAGTATTTAATCTTTCTGAAATTGACGTTTGAGTATGCTACGAGGTAGAATCCAAGTTTTTTACCATATGGATAACTAGTTTTCCCAGCATCTTTTATTGAAAAAATCTATCCTTTCACATTAATAAGTCAGGTTTCTATATATGCATGGATATCTTTCTGTTCCTTGACCTGTTTTTCTGCATCTACCCTGGTAACTCATTGACTTAATTACTGAAGCTATGTAAGTCTTGATGTCTAGCAGAACAAACCCTTCCACTGTGTTCTCCATTTCAGAAATGTCTCAGCTATTCTTAGTCCTTCCTTCTCCATGTACGTGTTAGAATCATCCTGCCAAATTGCATTAAAAATTATGTTTAGGTTTTTTTTTTTTAAAGTTTAGCACCTGGGCTAACAACTGTTGCCAATCTTTTTTTTTTTCTGCTTTATCTCCCCAAACCCCCCCTGTACACAGTTGTATATCTTAGTTGTATATCTTAGTTGCAGGTCCTTCTAGTTGTGGGATGTGGGACACTGTCTCAACGTGGCCTGACGAGCGGTGCCATGTCTGCGCCTGGGATCCAAGCGAACTTAACCACTCGGCCACGGAGCCGGCCCCCAGTGTTCAGGTTTTGATTAGAATCACAATCACACATTCAAGCTAGAGGTCAATTTGGGGAGAATTGACATCTTTACGGTATTGGGTCTCCCAGTCTGAAAATATGGTATATCTCTTTACTTAGTTATATCTTCTAAAATATATCTCAATAAATTTTAATAATTTTCTTCTTAAAGATGTCATACATCTCTTATTATACTTATTTCCTAGGTTTGATTACTGTTATAAATTTTATCCTTTTTAAAAATTACGTTTATGAACCAGTTGTTGCCAGTGTATGATAATCTTGCTGATGTCTGGATGTGGACCTTGTGCCCGGCCACTTCTCCCACCCTCTTATTAGTTTCAATGATTATCCTGCGGAGTGTTCTGTGTAGGTGATCATACCATCCACACAAGTGACTTTTGTTTCTTCTGTTCCAAACCTTATGCCTTTGTGTGTTTTTCTCACCAACTGCGCTAGCTGCACCCTCCAGCAGAGAGGTGTGTAAAGCAGTGTATAAAGTGGGCGCCTTCCTCTTGCTCCTGGCCCGAGGGTTTGTCTGCAACATTCTGTGTTAAGTGTGCTGTTTATTGTAGATTTGTCGTAGATGCCTTTTCTATGACTAAGGAAGTTTCCTTCTATTCCTAGCTGGCTGAGAGTTTTCATATGAAGGGCTGTGAATTTTGTCAAATGGTTTTCATTTATAATAGGTTTTTGCTTTTATTCTGTTAAAGAAGTAAATTATATTCATCAATTTTTCTCTGTTAAATTTGTCTTGCATTCCTAGGATTAATCCAGCCGAGTCCTGATAGGTCTTGAACCTTCCCGGATCTGGCTGATTTTGTGTGTCACATTTTGCCTTCATTTATTAATGCGTAAGAGGGCCACCTGCTTTCTTCTTTACACTCTAGGATGTCCTTGCCATCCTGGCTGTCACCCAGGCTAACGGTAAACTGAGTTGGGGTACA